GATACAGTTTAAACTGCATGGTGAAAACTACATGATATCCGTGGATGAACACCCAAAGAGAACTCGTAAATCTTGTTTATTCGCAAGCATTTTAGTGAAAAGCTTTTTTGCTTTGGTACGTAGCATCAACAATGTAAATGTCATATGGCGACTTTCCAACTTTACAGGCGGAGAACAAGGTACACCCGTCACGAACTGGCTGACTGACGTTTCGTAGGTAGGTTGTTAGCTTCATCGCTATACTAAATCAAAGAGTTAATTAAAAGCCCTTAGTGGGATTCGAACTCACAGCGGCGAGGACAATGGTTTTTATGTCTACGACCATAAACACAATGCCATTGACGCCCCTTATACAGGTAAGTAAACGTATTAAAATGTGGCATTTGTCATTTTGTTCGTTAGAGGTTAAACAAACTATAAACATGAAATTTGAATTTTTTTTGTTCAACTATGAACAATAGAATAAAAATGATTATTACCCTCACTTTTTCGTAATATTAATTTCCTATACGCCTCTGGGAGTTATTCTTACTGTAATGCAAGTGTACCACGCGACTTAGAATTTTGTATTATTACCCCTCACTTTTTTCGTAATGTTAATTTCCCATAGGCCTCTGGGAGTTATTCTTACTGTTATTGCAAGTGTACCACGTGACTACGAATTTTGTACTGTTACATAGGTAACAGTATTTTTTAACAGTTTAAAATCTGGTCACGTGGTCTATTTTCTAAATGAAATGAAATATAATGGCCGCCATTTTTTTCTCGATTCATTCTTATTTTCGACGATAGGGCATCGCCGAAGTAAATATTACTCTGATGAAATTTAGTTCTTTGCACCCTAGAGTGCCTTTCGCGTATTAAATATCTTTTTGTTGAATAGTCAACAGGAAACATCCGTTTTCAACGGAAGTAATTGTAATGTAAATAATTATGTGTCAAACTGGAACATGCAGACAATTAAACATGCAACAAAGGATTATTTAACAATTTTAATAAGTGAAACGTTACAGATATGGTGGACAGACATAGGATATCATCGTTATTTTATCAAAAACCATCCGAAGAATATTCTGGAAACAGAAGGATCAGATTTCACAGATCATAACCGTATAAATGGATTAGTATTAGTGTTTTGTTTTCTAAATAAAACACAGCGTATTGTTTGTTTATGACCACTTGCTTCAAGAATATAGGAAAAATTAAACTTCTCAAGTAGGCCTTAAGTACACTTAAAACTTAAAAGGTAAGGACATTTTAGTTATTGTTAAAAATCCGGTAACAAAGTGATCCCTCGGAAGCATTAATCACAACAAAATTACATAAATATTGCAGACTCGGTTTGATTGAGTCTGTACATGAGGGATAATGAAAATGTGCAACATCCCTCACGCCCCCTAGCACCGGCTTGAGCGGTACTCAATTCTCAACACTTAATAGTGATGGCATCAATGATCCCGAAGGACCAGAAAAATATAACAACACTGAAGTGAAGTACGGGGCAACATTTTACAGCGACACACAGCACTTGACTCTTGGTTTATTTTTGTTACAGTTAGATTTAGTTGACAATTTCAGATCATCACAGTATTTTTGTTCGGGGTAATAAAATAAATAACACATGCGTTTTTGAGTAACAGTAAAAATACCATCCCTCGATATAATTAATACACGACAGATATGAAAACGTGAATTAGAATGTTTGTGGACTATTTTTCTAACGTTTTCTTACTATTTTCATTTACTTACATTTTATTTGCTTTATATGTTTGTAAATGCATGCTTAACATATGTAGTATGGTGATGCTATCTTCAACACCCCGTTACCTTTTGGTTTATTGAGACATTATTATGAGAACTGAGATGTGAAATATTTGGTCGTTAAAAGAGATACATTTTATATATCATCTTGTATTAATTTTGTTATTTGTAATTTTATTAGAAAATAAAGATATACCATGCTCATCATTGAGTAAATATTTTAAACAGAGGAATTTATTGAAATCTATAAAATTCTTAATGAATATGTCTAACTAGTATAAATAAATTATGTATGGGAAGCTTCGTTCACTATTACTGGTCGATCAAAGTTGGTCTTTTCTTTAAAAAATGCAATTTTTTAATGACAATATAAATGTGAAGAGTTTTAAACTTTACATTTCTACAGATTACTTCGTGTGAAGTCAACACATGTTTATTATATATTATATTATATATGTTTATTATATATACAAAGAGACTGCATAGCAATGTTTAATATTGTTTATTATCAAATTTGAAGATAGTATAGTTTTTTAAATACTATTTAATGATACAAAGGAAAAATTTGTAAAATTGGATCTTATTCTTTCTTTATTCCTTGAATAAAAGTTTGTTAATTTTATCGAGCGTTATATTTCTTTATTCCTACTTTTGTAGTATGTCGGAGAAATATTTTAATATAAGTGATACAATTTTTTTTTTGCAACAGTAATTATATTATATAACAGATATTACAAATTATATATGTAAGCGACGTTTTTTAAAAAGAACGGCGTTATCGGATTCGACACGACAATTCGACCATTTTTATGAAAACAAAACACACAATCCTGCATGACTCCTAATATACCCTAAACTAGACCAAACTGGACTTAGAAAAAACGAGCCGACAAAACATGTTAAAATAGCAGTATTCGATGAGCTCAAAGGTTTCCACTTCTCATTATTGTTATGAATATTTTACATACTACTTATAGCATTGGACATTTCCTATCTATCAATAACTTCAAAGGAGCAAATTAGCTTTTTGGGAAGGATTGATAAGTGAATAAGCAATATTCTAAGTAAAGCAAGGATTTCTTAAGAAGGCTGGGTATCTAAATGCCGTTGAAGATTCGACATGTTGAAGTTACGTTTATTTTGTAACATGCAGGTGTGAAAACACTTGTCAGTGTGTGTTAATTTCTTATTGACAATTAAAGCTCTTTCATCATGATTGTGTCTTTCCCTGTATGGGCATGGTTTTTCAAAATGTTGTAAATTTGTTGTTGTTTTTTTTAAATATTAAATGTCTAGCAGAATTGAGAAACTTTTGTTAAATGATTCCTATTTTGCTTAAAATTTTGACTTTGAAGTTATCCTTGTTTGGATATTAATTAGACTCTATATATGCAAAACAGTAATACTAAGTTCTATAAATTACATATTCAAAAGCCAATTAAAAAAGATATCTTTCAGACAATATGTTGTTTTAATTTCTGATTTTCTGAACTATATGCATTGAACATGGATTTGCGTAATAAAATTACTTAAGACATTTATTGCAAACAGAAATTAAAATATGACTTAGACAAAAGTGTTGAAAAGTAAATACAAAATGATTGAACAAAGTCATTGTTCAAACACAACAATTATCAATAATGTATAAAACCTCTGAAAACCGGAATCCTCTGAAAACCGGACTTTTGGTCAAGTCCGGACAGGGTCCGTTTTTCAGAGTTTTTACTAATATCACTAAACAGACTATTATAAAAACAAAGATTTAACGAAATCTCACTACAGACCGATGACTAACATTCAGACAAATCCTGATTGCCTGATTTGAAAGGTCTGTGGGCATGTCATTCAAATTTACTTGCAAAATTGTATATATAAAATTATTGCTGATTTTCTTCTCCAAAAATTGAAATTTATACAACCCTTTTGCATAACCTTTAAAGACAAGCATAACGACATTTGAAATATAAAAGCAAAACCTATGATTATATTTAAGTTCGTACATAGCACAACACAGATATAACGAACGCATTTAAAGGAAATAAAAAGAAATATCATCTTGTGCAACAAACTTTTATTAATTATAAAAAAGAAGCTTTTTTTTCTAAATAAGTTCATATCATTGTCTTTTTATTTAGTTTGATTTAAATACAAACATGCTGACAAATATTGTGTTTATAATTTAATTAGAATGCTAGCAATATAACATTGTTTTTAGCTCAGCTGTCTCAAAGTGACAAGGTGAGCGTTTGTGATTACAATTCGTCTTGTGTCCATCCATTGTCCCTCTGTCATCCGTCCGTTTATTTTTACTTTAAACGACATCTCCTTATAAACCACTAAGCCAAATTCTTCCAAACTTCACAGGAATTTTAAAACAAACATGCTGACAAATATTGTGTTTATTATATAATTAGAATGCTAGCAATATAACATTGTTTTTAGCTCACCTGTCTCAAAGTGACAAGGTGAGCGTTTGTGATCACAATTCGTCTGGTGTCCGTCCATTGTCCCTCTGTCATCCGTCCATTTATTTTTACATTAAACGACATCTCCTTATAAACCACTAAGCCAAATTCATCCAAACTTCACAGGCATTTGGTGGTCACCTTTAAAAATTGTTAAAAAAAAAATTAATTCTATGCAGAAATCTGGTTGCCATGGCAACCAAACGAAAGACTAAAAAAATATTCTTTTAAAAAACCCAAAGAGCTGGAGCTTAGATATTTGGCATGAATTATCTTCTAGTAAGTGTCTACCAAGTTTGTTCAAATAAAAGCCCTGGGTCAAAATTAGCCCCGCCTCAGGGGGTTCGTTGATTTTCATTAAATTTATTTAGTAAAAAATTACAAAAAATTCTTTTAAAAACCCCAAAGAGCTAGTGCTTAGATACCAAGCATGAAACATCTTCTATTAAGTGTCCACCAAGTTTGTTCAAATACAAGCCCTAGGGTCAAAATTGGTCCATCACTGGGGATCAATGATTTTCCTTATATGTATTATAGAAAAAACTTTCCTGTTAAAAATCCAAAGAGCTAGAGCATGAAACATCTTTTAGTGGGTGATCAACCAAGCCCTGGGGTCAAGGGGGTTTATTGATTTTCTTTATATGTATATTGTAGAAACTTAAAAAATCTTTACAGATTTCGACTTTATGTCTGCTTTTGTTTATACTTTACAATATGGGGGGGGGGTCATTGATTTTCCTTAAACGTGTATGTATATAGTAAAAACTGAAATCAAATAGCTAGAGGTTAGATATTAAGCATGAATATCTTCTAGTAGGTGTATACCATGTTTGTTGAAATAAAAACCCTGAGATCAAAATTGGCTCCGCCCAAGGAGTTTTTGATTTTCTTTATATGTGTATTGTAGAAACTTAAAACTCTTTTAAGATAACGATTTTATGTCTGCTTTTGTTAATAATATACAATATTACTTGTTCCTTGTCATGTAGAGTTTCTATTTTCAGGTGAGTGATTTCATGACCATAATGGTCCTCTTGTTTATTATTCAGTTGTGTTTTAACATGAAAGAACTGGAAATAATCTTAGAGATGATGTTCCATTTAATGTACGTCTATGCCAATATATTATGTATAAAATATCAGGCCATTCGTTCACTCCGTAATTTTCCAGAATAATTATTCCATCTGTAAAATATAACCCTAAATTTGCAAACGTTACAGCGCTTTTATAAGTTGTTGTGGTATAAATGAAATATAAATACTTTATAAAATAAAACTCCTTGAATTAAGTATTTCTTCGTGTTTTTGTTGCTTTGTTATTTATTTTCTTCTCGCCATCATTGTAGTATTATAAAAACTGATTCCATAGAACACTTTTACACCGTTCAGGTTACTTTCTTTTGTTGTTTTATTGCTTATTTTCTTCTCACCATTATTGTATTATTAATCTTAATTCCAAACGCCACTTTTACACCGTTCAGGTTTCTCTCTTGACATGTCTTGTTATCTGGAAACCACCACCCGCCACCTGTTTCAGTCGCACACTTCATTGTTGTATCCTGGTCGTATGTTACAAATCGACTTCCAACTTCGAACAAACCTTGTAGTTTTATTATAAATAAAAAATAACTGTGATTAGTAATAAAATATATTATCTAAAGCAATACAAATATAAATTTCCCGTCAATTTTTTAAATAATTTTTACATACATGTATTTAAATAAGGCTACGTTTTCTTTTTTCGATTTCTGAATGATCCCTAAAAACTGTGGTTGTGTGACATATCTTGATTGATTTATTGTAAAGCAACACCTTAATGAACAAATTCCGGTCCATTGAAATACGGTCTATAATAAAAACAACTTTTATTCTGAAATTAAAAAAACCAACAGAATTTGGAAAGAATGCCCAACAAAGTACAATTGCAAATGCTGCAGGCCCGGTTGGATTGAGACTATTCGTGGACGGGACTGGAACGTGCAAGTTACCGTTCATTAACGGTGCTTAAGCAGTATTCAACATTTAACATGAAATGGTAAAATTTTGTATTTTTAAACATTCGCAGATGTTTGCAAAAAATTAATACTTTCTTCTTTTGAATCTTCATCGTTGGAGAATATGTAGTGTTCCCCAAGAAGTTTAAAATTGGTTAGATAGACGCGTCCATCTTCAACAACTCTCGTTTCACTCGGTGCGTCTGTAACTTCTTGTATATATCTAAGACCTACGAAACAAAGCCAACAATTTAAGAAAATGTTATTTTGTAATAACAATAATTGGTTCTTTGCTAATGAGTGAAGTTAAGATACATGTACTTTGAATTATATACGAGGGCTGTTCGAAAAGAATTGCTTATTGTCCTCTATCTCCATCGTCGGATACCCACGGCCGAACCATTAACATTTATCTACCGTGGGATTTTTTGCCGATATTCAGTCGATTAGGGGTGTGTCAAAGGCAGCTATTTCATTGGATGCCTCACGATTTCATGAGGCGATTAAAACCAATCAAAACGCTCGTTCTGTACGACGCTCGGTATTACAAACAATATTGCGACAACCATAGACGACGTGAAAAGTTCAACATCGAAAAATTAAACGATATCAGCAAGAAAGTATAGATAATTTACTTTTACACCGTGATGTTTTTCTTTCTGATTGATATCTGCTTGCAGAAGAACTGATTTGGCGATAGTTTTTGACATTGATTTTAGCAAAACACGTGCAACAGTATTTAACCGTGGGCGCTGCCATTTTGTTTCTCATTGTTTTTTACCTCCGCTGCTGAAGAATATAGATTTGTTAAACGCGATGTCATTGGTAGATATTTTACGCACCTGTTGCTGTATATCGACGCAAATCGATTCATTTTACCCACGGTTGATTGCATGTTATGTGACATGTTTATCAATCGTGGGTATCCGACGATGCTCTATCTCGTGATCCACGTGGGACACGGTAAAAACCAATACATAATTGTATAGGGTAATTCAATACCTACACAACGGTGTATAAATGTACATAATATACTAAGTGAAAGACATACAATTTGCCATTTAAACACACGAAGTCATTGACCACTGTAGTAAAAATGGTTGGTAGAAGCGTCGACAAAAAAGATGAAATCTTTGAAGCAGTTGATGACTGAACTCTCTACTGCTTATGGGCCTTCTTGTTTGTCTTATGACACAGAAAACCGATGGAAAAAGAAATATGAGTATGGTGTCGAGTGCATCAAAAATGCACCAAAAATCAGGTAGGCCTAAATCTGCATCTATGGTGAAGGAGTCGCAATAAAAGTGCAGGTGAAAAAGGGCAAAACTGTCACTCGGAAGTACTACAAAGACGTAGTACTGAAGAAACTGAAAAAGTTCTATAAGAAACGACGCCCTGTTACTGGTTTTAAGCATATCCGTCTTCTACATGACAATGCCCCCGCTCATACCTCCGCAATAATTTCGGCGTTTTTGAAAAAAGAAAAAGCAACTGTTTTGCCTCACCTCCCGTATTCTCCAGACCTTGCCCCAGGTGATTTCTTTTTGTTTCCGAAATTGAAATCCTTCCTTGCTGGGCGGAAATACAAGTCCCGACAGGCACTTGGATCTGCCATTCACCAGTACCTTATTACTGTACCCAAATCAGCGTACCGTGACGCCTCTAAGAAGTGGATACATCGGCTGAAACTTTGCATTTCTAGCCACGGGGAGTACTTCGAGGGCATAAAATGAACACTTTTGAGCTAACTAGAAATTTCAAGTCTCCAGATAGGAATAAGCAATACATTTCGAACATCCCTCGTACTGTTACATATTATATTAAGTTATCTTTATTGAAAATATTAATAAAACACTATCGAAATTTTACACCTTTGTTGTAATTTTACCATTTTAGAACAAGTATCTTAAAAGCACATGTTTTAGAAATGACAAAAATGAATTTATAACAATTAAATAATGGTTTTAGAGCATGTTGTGTGCTTATAACATGAAAAAAGTAAGGCAGAATTTGAAATAAGTCTATATTAAAGTAGCAAAATGTTAGTACTAACTAAATAGTACTTTGACTTCCATAGATAAACAAAAAACAGCATAAGGGAAATAAAGCATTTCTTTGGTATAATGGGCTTTTTAAATTAACTAAGCAAAATTCACATAAACTTTAATAAGTTAATGTTTTCAGTAAGGAGTATTTCTGTAAACAACTAGAGTAGTTTTTGACAATTTAAGTCCCAATACCTAACCAGAATTCATCTCTTACATCGCCGAACCCATCTTCATACGCCGAAAAGCTTTCATTGAAAGATGTGCTTCCGTTAATTCGCCTTTGGATTACCTTAAATATCAAAAGGACAATAAAAAATGAGACATGATGTTTCAATATTCTCGGCATATGTTATTACATAAGACGATGCTAAGAGCCTTGAATGATCTGCCATTTGGAGATAATTTGAAGTAATTCCTAGTTTGGATAAATGCATGCTTCAAACAAGCCGTCGCCAAATACCATACATTAATATTTTAGCTCAACAGAACCGAAGGTTCAGGGTGAGGTACAAGTATCAAAGGGGGATACTCAGGCGTCCGTCGTCCGTCGTCATGCGCCAACAATCATCTTCTTCTCTGAAACTACTGGCAGGGGCGAATTTTTATTTATTTAACTTTGCCCCGCGCCCCAGATTGTTAGCGTGTTTTCGCTCCGACCCCGCCATGTTATCTTGATAATTCTCGACATTTTGCCGTCGGGGTCGCGGGGCGAAACACGAATAGCACAAATCTGCCACCATAGTTCTGCGATTATGGTTTATGCAGGTTTATGTGCATATGTAACAGTTATAGTATATGAAACGAATTTTTTTAAACAAATGAGATTTGCAATATAATAAGTTTATACGGTTTCAATGCTGATGGTTTTGAAATACTCTATGTTTTAAAGATGATATTTAGTTCCACGTGACAAATCCCACCCATCACTCTCTCAGCGTATATGGTCATAATCAAATTGTCATAACATTTTTGAAAAAAAAATACATACCGTCCAACCACCACCACCAGTTGTCATGTCACAGTACACATCGATTATTTCCAAACTTAGTAGTCTTATTTCATATACACCAGTGTCTACATTTTTGTTGTTTTTCAAAGCGTGTAGAAAAGCATCTTTGCAATCAACATTGAAATCTGAAAATGAAGGATGAGTGTTACTTTAAAAATACTAAACAAAGATCCATCAAGAGCAGCTGTGAAAACAAACAACTTATTTTCAGACTCAGACTCGGTCATAATGAGTCTGGTCATAAGAGTTATAACCACATCCTAAACATTAGTATATTACAAAGATATCTTGGCCAAAATAAATGACAACACTGTTAAAATATCAAGACGTAAAGAAGACTTGATTGGTCAACGTTTACACAACAAAAGTAAAAATCATCAATGAAAATATATTATAATTAAAATTGTATTTTAATAATGTTTGGAATTGACATGATCAAAATATTTACGAACCCCTTCGAGTATACTGTAATAAATTTGGATCATTTGGCAAAGGATGAAAACTCATTGCCTCACATCCAATACACAGAACATCTTCCGGTTGATACACACTTGTCAGGCATTTATTGTGTAGGAAACATATTTTGCTGCAAGCCATCTCATCAGGAACGTCGTTTCGGATAAACAGATATTCGGATGAAGAACATGTGATTCCATAAGATTCATCTTCAAGACGAAATTTTGTCCAATGTATGTTTGTTGTCAATGTAACATTTAGTAAAGTCACAAATGTCCATATGCACAACAAAATGACAGTCATGTTTGTTTCTTTCATGTTCAACAATTTGTAATAGTATGCAAGATTTACAAGTATACAATGTCAACAAAATTTTGATCCTGTTGAAAGAAAAAATCTATAAAATTTTAATATTATTACTGTTTTTATGTTATTCTTGAAATGGTTATAGAAAACCAATATATTGCTTTATTTAAATCAGTCACCAGGTAAGATAATTAATATTATTTTGGAATCATGTTGACAAACATTATTGATACTTAGACTTGAAATAGTTCGAAAATGTTACGAAAGGAAATGGATATGAATTATTTATTTTGTCTTATTAGATTTCACCAATAGTTCTCCTGTTCTCAGAACAGGACTAATTGAATATGGAAAATCTATTTTTATTTTAACGATTTTATCAGTTAAAAAAAACAAAAAAACACTTTCTTAATGTAATGTATCCAGGATATTTGTTTGATAAGATTGAATATGATTTTTGTAAAAAAAAATGTTAAAGAGAACAAGAAGATGCAGCAGCTAACTCCACTTTAATAATAATCTGTTTAATCATAAAGCGCAAACCAAAGCTATATCACTCACAGTGTAAATGATAAATTGTGAGTGATATTGAATTTATTTTGTGTTTTTGTAAGCATAAAAAAATATAAGTATATTGGTTTGAATGATAAGGGTATTAATAATAAAAATGTGGATTTGATCTGAGATGTTTACATTGTAACGTAATTAAAAAAATCCCCAAATAGTGTGCTTTTTTGTGTGTTTTTTTTATAAATATTTTCAAAATTCACGACAGATTACTAAAGCAACACTATTTTGTTGATTGTTATAATTAAAATGCTGGAAAACACCGTTAAAAGCATAACGCTAGATGTTTACTTCTCGGATGCGCAATTTGTCAAGGCATTAATGGAACTCCAACGAGTTCAAGAAGACTTTAAAACATTTTTTAAGAATTACATAGATCAAAGAATTCTGGAAACAAAGTGATCCCTCGGAAGCATTAATCACAACAAAATTACAAGAGAATTGCAGACTCGGGTTGATTGAGTCTGTACATGAGAGATAATGAACAAGTGCAACACCCCTCACGCCCCCTAGCACCGGCTTGAGCGGTACTCAATTCTCAACACTTAAATGTGCTGGCATTAATGATCCCGAAGGACCAGGAAACATAACAACACTGAAGTGAAGTACGGGGCAACTTTTTACAGCTGACACACGGCACTTGACACCTGCTGTTGTGAAGCATAAAATTCTGGAAACAAAGTGATCACTCGGAAGCATTAATCACAACAAAATTACAAGAGAATTGCAGACTCGGTTTGATTGAGTCTGTACATGAGAGATAATGAACAAGTGCAACACCCCTCACGCCCCCTAGCATCGGCTTGAGCGGAACTCAATTCTCAACACTTAAAAGTGCTGGCATCAATGATCCCGAAGGACCAGAAAATGACTGAAGTGTTGAAGTGTGAACTCGGGCTCATAAAATAGAAGGATATGCAAAGATTATTAATAAACATACTAAGAATAAATTGAAAGTCTTATTTTCGTGTTATTCTTTGCATGATGTTAGCAAAGAGCATTGCAGCCATTTTCATTTTTGGGCCATGTTTCATTGTTGAATTAATCAGAAAATTGGTATTTAAGTAATAATGGAACCTTATCTCGAAATATTTTTCAGTCCAGTTATGTCCAAAATACTCTGTTGAGTTGCTGTAAAATTCAAACGATAATTTTGTATACTGCAGGTAGCAGCAAAAGTAGCTTTAATCACTTATAAGGCTTTTTGTGCAATTAAAATGCAAGCCAACATAAACTCCGGTGAGGCTATATCTATGGAACGCCTGGACTGTCTTATGTTAAGAATGAATGATATACCTGGTTAAATGTCTTTCTGTTGAGTCCGAGATACAAAATGCTTGGTGGAAATCCTAATGTGCTCAGTTATTGAAGTGCTATGTTGTGTGCTGACTGTATTTTATTCAGTCAAGTCAATGTATTGTCGGGTGCATAAGTCGTTATGTTCAGTTCTTAAAACAAACAGGCATGTGGTAACACAATTATGTTGAGTTAAAATGATATGTTGTAGGGTGTTATGTTCGGTTATAATAATATGCTGTTTGGTGCTCTTCTCATCATGTTCAACCATGAAAATAAACAGTTGAGTGGTACTATCATTTTGTTTTGCTGAGGCAGTGTATTATTGGGTGATACTTTTATTATTTTCAGTTGCAATGACATGCTGTTGGGTGCTTTATTCCTTCTGTTCAGTCGTAAAATAGAACTGTTAAATGGCACTATCATTATCTTGTGTGCTGATTATATCTTCTTCAGTCAAGTCAATGTGGTGTTCGGTGCAAAGCTCGTTATATTCAGTGGTTTTTTGGTACTATCATTATGTTCAGTTCAGATGATATACTGTTCGGCGCAGAGGTCATTATGTTCAATAGTGAACACAAACTGTTGTGTGATACCACCATTATGTTGGGTTCATTCGGATATTTTCGGGCAACAAGATGGGAGATGTCACGTCGAGGCTAATGACCACTAAATTGCCAAAACAATTTTCTTCCCTGTAAATATCATCGGGGGCTTAATAACGTTATTTTCATAAATTCGACTTTTAAATACCCTATGGGTATTTATTTAGGTAATTCATGACTATATTATACTGTTACAGTCATAATGGGTACAATATATAAAACTTAAAATATGGGTAGCCTGTTAAAGTCACACATGACCACCGTAAATAAAACTTAAAATTTATCTGTTTGGTAACCTGTAAGAGTCACAAATGGATACAGCAAACAAGATTTAAAATATAAAATATCATATTCAAGTAAGGGAACCCTATTTGAGTCACACATGGCCACAGTATATGGAGCATATAAGTAAGGGTAGCCTATTAAAGTCACATATGGCCACAGCATATGCAACTTAAAATATATGTGTTGGTAACCCATTTGAGTCACACATAACCACAATAAATGGAACATAATATTTAAGTAAGGGAAACCTATTTGAGTCACACATGGCCACAGTATATGGAACATTAAATATAAGTAAGGGTAGCGCAATAAAGTCACACATACCCACATTATGAAGAACATTCTATATAAGTAAGGGAAACCTAATTGAGTCACACTAGGCCAAAATATATGGAACATTATGTTTAAGTAAGGGAAATCTATTTGAGTCACACATGACTACAGTATATGGAACATTATATATAAGTAAGGGTAGCCTAATAAAATTAGACTCAAATACATTTCCCTGACTTAAACATTATGTCTAATATATTGTGGCCATGTGTGACTCAATTAGGTTTCACTTACTTATATAGAATTTTCTTTATACTTTGGCCATGTTTGACTTTATTAGGCTACCCTTACTTATATATAATGTTCCATTTACTGTGGTCATGTGTGTCTCAAATGGGGTTTCCATACTTATATTTAACGTTCCATATACTGTGGCCATGTGTGACTCAAATAGGTTTGCCTTACTTGTATATTATGTTTCATATTTTAAATTCGTTTGATGTGTCCACTTGTGAGTCTAAAAAGTTACCAACACATATATTTTAAGTTTTATTTAAGGTGGTCATGTGTGACTTGAACAGGCCACCCTTACCCATATTTTAAGTTTTATATACTGTGCCCATTATGACTGTAACAGTATATTATAGTCATAAATTAACTTGATAAAATACCCATTGGGTATTAAATTTGCCATACGATCTGTCCAATTTATGGAAATAACGTTTTAAAGCTCCCGATGGTATTTACGGGGAAGAAAATTGTTTTGGCAATTTTGTGGTTATAAATCTCGACGTGACCTATGGAAATTAGTTGCTCCCGCCCGCCATCTTGTTTGACGCGAAGATATCCGAATGAACCCAACATAATTGTATGACCACTCAGCGCATTGTCAAATGACTTGCGCACCGAACAGTATATCATCTGAACTGAATATAATGACGGTATCACACAACAGTTTGTGTTCACTACTGAACATAATGACTTCTGCACCGAACAGTATATCATCTGAACTGTACATAATAACCTCTGCACCGAACAGTACATCATCTGAACTGAACATAATGACTTCTGCACCGAACAGTATATCATCTGAACTGAACATAATGATGGTATCACACAACAGTTTGTGTTCACTACTGAACATAATGACCTCTGCACCGAACAGTATATCATCTGAACTTAACATAATGACCTCTGCACCGAACAGTATATCATCTGAACTTAACATAATGACCTCTGCACCGAACAGTATATCAACTGAACTGAACATAATGACCTCTGCACCGAACTGTATATCATCTGAACTTAACATAATGACCTCTGCACCGAACAGTATATCAATGAACTGAACATAATGATAGTATCACACAACAGTTTGCGTTCACCACTGAACATAATGACCTCTGCACCAAACAGTATATCATCTGAACAGAACATAATGACGGTATCACACAACAGTTTGTGTTCACTACTGAACATAATGACCTCTGCACCGAACAGTATATCATCTGAACTGAACATAATAACGGTATCACACAACATTTTGTGTTCACTACTGAACATAATGACCTCTGCACCGAACAGTATATCATCTGAACTGAACATAATGACGGTATCACACAACAGTTTGTGTTCACTACTGAACATAATGACCTCTGCACCGAACAGTATATCATCTGAACTGAACATAATGATAGTATCACACAACAGTTTGTGTTCACTACTGAACATAATGACCTCTGCACCGAACAGTATATCATCTGAACTGAACATAATAACGGTATCACACAACATTTTGTGTTCACTACTGAACATAATGACCTCTGCACCGAACAGTATATCATCTGAACTGAACATAATGATAGTATCACACAACAGTTTGTGTTCACTACTGAACATAATGACCTCTGCACCGAACAGTACATCATCTGAACTGAACATAATGATAGTACTATTCAACAGTTCTATTTCACGACTGAACAGTCTGAATAAAGCACCCAACAGCATGTCATTGCAACTGAAAATAATAAAAGTATCACCCAATAATACACTGCCTCAGCCAAACGAAATGATAGTACCACTCAACGGTTTATTTTCATGGTTGAACATGATGAGAAGAGCTATTTTAACCGAACATAATAACTGTCACACCCTACAACATATCTTTTTAACTCAACATAATTGTGTTACCACATGCCTGTTTGTTTTAAGAACTGAACAGAACGACTAATGCAACCGACAATTCATTGACATGACTGAATAAAATGTAATCAGCACACAACATTACACTTCAATAACTGAGCGCATTTGGATTTCCATCCAGTATATTGGGATTTTGACCCAGCATATTGTAGCTCGGACCCAACAGAATGACATTTAACCATGTATATCAGTCATTCTACACATAAGACAGTCCAGGCGTTCCATATATATCGCTCACATTATTACCGTTTATGTTAGCTTAAATTAACGGATGTAATCATTTTTGTTCCGCTTAAAACAAAACTGTTTAAATGAAGCAAACTTAAGTTTGCTTTCATAATAAATATGTCATGCTGAACTATAAAGAGATTTTATTTAAAAAAAATGAAAACCAACAAGTATTAACTTTTTGATTCAGGTTCAATTAAAATTAACTATTCAGCTTCTTGTTTCAAGATTTTTCTACATTAAATATCTGGTTGCGGGAGTCAAGGATTTACGACCGCATAACATTTACAATTTTCTTCCCAAATTAGATTTGCTGACATTTGATTCAAATTGACAGCATCAGATAGAAAATAAAACATGAAAGAACTTAACATTTTTGGTTTCATGACCGTTATGCCAAACTTAAGCTAGTTAATTGCATGTCCCGGTGAAGGAAACTACTTAGTGAGAGTATATTTTAGTGCAAATGCCGCCGACAAACAAGAAAACATTGGCATTTTAATAAAAAGTTTTCTAGAAACAGCTTTATCTGTCGCAAACCTTGCGAATGTTTTGCAAGTTAAACATTTTTTGATTCTTTACATATTTTTGTAATTTCATAACCTTTTATAGCAAAGTTAAATTGAACTATTTTGTATTAAAGTATGCTCATGACTTTGTTTAAGTAATAAGAAAACTCCTTAAAATGTATTATTTCATTGTAAACTCCTTTCTATTTTTCTCGCCGCATGATTTATATACTTTTCTTGATTATTTTCCCGCCTTTTATTAGTATATAAGCATAGATGATTGAGCATACAAGACAGAAATTCTTTAGGTTCTAAGTGTATAAGGTTTTCTTGAAACTATTTTTGGATTAAAATTAAAGTGATATATTATGGATATTTAAAATTATTTAGTTTCTGTGGTTATATTTAAAGATAAAAAAGAGTTTCATATGAGTATAATTAAACTTGATGTCTGTTAATAAATCATGAAAATTATGTATCATATTAAACTGTAAAACGTTTATTGTGTTTAGTTTTATTTTCATTTATCACTAAGTAATTGTTATTACAAATAGTTATAACAAATATCTAGTACATGTAGTAAAAAAGCTTAATAAAAAAGGTGAAATAAATTCAAACACTGTTTCAATGTGGCATAAAAATTTCAGTCTAGGAAACTTTATTTGAAGGAAAAAAAAAGTCTACCACATTATCGATTGTTTGAGGAGATATATCCATTTTGGAACCATAGAGGATAAAAATGTAACACAATTTAGACCATATCTTTATTGCATTAAATTGTACATGTATATTTCTTTAAAATAAATATTAAATTTGGATAGTACTTCTTGAAGATTGTATTATTTCTTTTTCAATAATAATTTTAAACAGTATGGAACTGCTCTGTTCTGTGATATGATTCTTAAAGTTGCACGACAATCGAAATACTTATCAACACGTAACAATAAAAATGATCGATCCAAAGCAACTAAAACAATTATATATGAAATGACATTACCAGAAGGAATAATCACGTAATCAAAGCTTTAAATAATATTACGTAAAAACACAGCATTACTACCCAAGTCCTATTCCATACTTAGAAAATATATCACGTACTAACCAGTAAGTCACGTCTTTAAAACAGATTTAAAGTTACCTGGGTACTTTAAACATTTCAAAATGAGTAAGAAAATAATGCTTTATAAAATGAGAAGTAACAACCTACAACCAATCAAAAGACTCGTTACAAATTTAAATATAATAGGGTTGTTATATCTACATGTATATGAAAGACAACAAATATCTAGACTATCAAATTCAACTTATCCTACGGAAACGTATCTATTTGAGATCAAATGTTGCTTTCTCAAAGGAATTGTAAGGACGGAAACGAAACCAATTAGTATGTAATTATTTAGTATTAAGTATTAATGAAAGTAATGAGAAGCGGAAACCTTTAACAGTTTTATTTTTCTAGCTCAGGATCAATGAAACAATGTAAACATTTTTCCTTACCTTAAATTTGTATGGTCGATTTTTTTCGTGAGTTTCTGGTCGAATCACAAACGGAAAATAAAATCATCTCTTGAAAACTACGACGGCATAAAACATGTCATTGTATAGAGAAATTAAGCCTTGTATTTCTCTGAAAATATTACGAAAGTTTGTTTATTTTATAGAAAACGAGTACCACTTTCTTTAAGTATGCCCAAATTATACTAACTTAAGAAAAACCTACTTCCATCCATATTTTTGCCATTGACCTACTAAGCAAATATTATCTCACTTATGAATTTAGACTCTGTTAAAAGTATTATGAATGTCAGCAAATTTATATACACAGCTTTCCAAGTTATGCAATAATTCTTCTTTATTCCAAAACGAATTTCAGTATCATAACCAAATGTTTTCTGCTTTGTTTTCGTTTTATCTTTTGTAAGTATTTTAAGTTAATATAAACACAATGAAATGGATCTCCAACCCGTCCATATTTGAATTGTTTTACAAAAATGTATTCAATGAACACAAAACTTGCTCGTAACAAGAGATAAATATTCTTTGTTACATGTTTTACTATAGAAATAACACAACAGGTAAATGATAATAATGATGAGAAATATTGTCAAGGAAACACTTAAAAATCAATTATGTTCACTTTGTTAAAAAACAAAAACATTTAAGATTATCCTGTATAAAATCATTTGTATATAATTCTCTGTTAATAATATACTTGCCCTTATATGTTTGTATTATATATTGAAATGGCTATAAATGTTGTAACATTTAATGCTGAATAAATGCTATGTTATGTAATGTTATGTTTATTTTGATGGGTATTTAATCAAGCCTATGGATATTCCTTTTTTCTTTCTTCTTTTTTTCTGAAGAGTTTTAGTTTGATAATATTTGATAGTTTTGCAACTTATTCACAACAAGAAGAAGTTTTGCAACTTATTCACAACAAGAAGAAGTAAACAAGCATTTCTATAATATTCTACTGAGATTTTAATTTTGATTGCAATCCAATATTACACATTGATATAAGATGAACAAATACCAAAACCATTTTATTTACCTAAGCATGTTCAGAGGTAGAACAATATATATTATATAGGAACTTTGCCGGGACTAGGCGATGGTTTCGAGCAAAGAGAGGTATTCGAGTGATCCGAGTTCGAGCGAACGAAGTTAAACTGTAACCCATTAGACAAGGCTCATTTCTGATGCATTACAAATCCAACGTCAATCTTGACAGCCGATTAAAATCTCTAATTTAGATTAGATACAAAATTGCGTTCCTCATATCTAACAGAAATTGCATGTTTGATAGCATCAAGTTGAGTACTGTTAAGTTTCAGCTGTTAAGGTTTATTAAAAATTGAATGTTTCAGATAGCATAACAAATGACAGTTATAATCGCCGTTCCTGGACGGCGATATATACAATTAACAAGATTTGAACAGTTCTACCTGTCCAACGCCTGCCTTCAACCAATCAAAGTGAATAATTCAATATCACATGATAACAAAATGGACGTCAAAAACTTCAACGAGGGATGCTTAAAAGGACTCGCCCACTCGTTCAACTAAAAGTACCATTATCAATGTACGAACTCAGTACCAGTCTTTAGTCTGTTGCAGGATAAACACAGCGAATTGCAATATTTTTTGCTACATGGCTTTTCCGATAAGAGAATGTAGTCTAAATAAGAGTATATTCTGTTTTCTTTCCAAAAATGGCACTTAACGAAAAACACTCCATAAATGTTTTTTTTTCGGGCGAGTTTAATACTATGAGTGTTTTTATTGCATCATACCTATAATATAGCAGGTCAGTTATAGTCCGATACAGAAAAAAAATCGGAAATCAGTCGTCGGAGTTAAGAACATAAATTCCATTAATAGAAGGTCCACTGACATCATTTTTAATATGTATTTTTTACGCAAGAAACAGATGCACTGATTAAGTAGCGCATGTAGTCTTATTGTACTACGCCTTTAGTTATTGCGATATTTTTCCTTGATTTCCTTGATTCTTGACAATTTTTAAACTTTGCTACTTACAAATCAACCGTAGCGTATCCCAACAAGTTCGAATTGAACCGTCCTGATACGTACTGATCCGAATGAAAACCCTACCTAGGCCGATTTCCACGGTTTGATACGGAGAACTACGTATTTGTACAGTTACCCTACGTATAAGCTACGGTTTTAATACGGATTTACGGCATTGTAACTGAAAACCACGATTGTAATACGTTGTACTACGGAGAGGAAGGGATAAGCACGGTCTTATACGGTTTATTGCGATGCAGTACGAAACGGTACTGAATGGTACGGCCCACCACTATTATCATATACCTTTTCAAGGCTATAAATACTACCTTTTTGTTAAAAACAGACCTATTTGCGTATTCATTTATTAGAAGCTTAGCCATGTTTATTAATAAATCTTTTAAAAAAAGAGAAGACTTTCTGTCAGAGTTTTGATTTTCCAGTGGGTTTATCATGTTCTCTCATTGCAGGTTTTTTTAGCATGAAGGCTTCTCGCCCAAATGTATTTCTTACATTTTTTCCGATGGAGACGTACTGTAAATGTTGTTTACGGGCCTATGAGTGTTTTTATTGCATCATACCTATAATATAGCAGGTCAGTTATAGTCCGATACAGAAAAAAAAATCGGAAAGCAGTCGTCGGAGTAAAGAACATAAATTCCATTAATAGAAGGTCCACTGACACCATTTTTAATATGATTTTTTTTTTTACGCAAGAAACAGATGCACTGATTAAGTAGCGCATGTAGTCTTATTGTACTAAACGCCTTTAGTTATTGCGATATTTTTCCTTGATTTTCCTTGATTCTTCACAAATTTCTAAACTTTGCTACTTAAAATCAAACCGTAGCGTATCCCAACAAGTTCGAATTGAACCGTCCTGATACGTACTGATCCGAATGAAAACCCTACCTAGGCCGATTTCCACGGTTTGATACGGAGAACTTACGTATTTGTACAGTTACCCTACGTATAAGCTACGGTTTTAATACGGATTTACGGCATTGTAACTGAAAACCACGATTGTAATACGTTGTTGTACTACGGAGAGGAAGGATTAGCACGGTCTTATACGGTTTATTGCGAATGCAGTACGAAACGGTACTGAATGGTACGGCCCACCACTATTATCATATTACCTTTTCAAGGCTATAAATACTACCTTTTTGTTAAAAACAGACATATTTGCGTATTCATTTATTAAAAACTTAGCCATGTTTATTAATAAATCTTTTAAAAAAAGAGAAGACTTTCTGTCAGAGTTTTGATTTTCCAGTGGGTTTATCATGTTCTCTCATTGCAGGTTTTTTTAGCATGAAGGCTTAAATGTATTTCTTACATTTTATGGAGACGTACTGTAAATGTTGTTTGCTTAGGATGACGTCATTACGCTGCTTACGGATTGGCGCCGTTTTGTCAAACTATTTATTAACTGATGTGCATCTAATATGTGGCGTTAGTGTATGTGAGATATTATTTCGGTATTGTATGAAAAGAAAACATTATACGAACTGAAAATATAAATAAAAATGTTTTTTATTGTTGCTTTAAAATGCTTTGTAAACTATAGAATCGAGGGTGAAAACATAGCAGCGCATATACAAGTAGTCCCTAACCGGTGTTTATTGGCAGTTTAACACCAGTTTTTTTTCCTTCTTTGTCTATAGTGACAAAATCACGTGAGTGTTAGAATAGATATTATACATTATAAGCAAAGTTCGGTTGTGTTGTAAGAATCAGATATTATTAAATAACAGTTGATATTGTAAGCCTATTTAGAGGAATCAATGTGTTTTTTATATCAATACACATTATGTTAGATTGGTATTATAAACTGAAAATTGTCATTGTTAATCCTCGACTTCACGCTTCATATTTAGATGTAAATTATAATGTTGTATATATATGTGTATGGGCCGGAGGCCTGATTATGCAAATAAATAAACTGTAACTGTAACATTCATGTTGCGAACATAATCATAAACATTCAAAAAAAGATAGTTACCATTAACTGGCTGCAACTGTATATTGATATGGATCAAAATGCGAAGGCAGTGGTCGAGCTGCTTGATGACATGCATAGAGGTATAAAATATATTAATATCGTACTACAATGCATTAGTAATAGAATAACATTTAAGGTTACATATTTTACAAAACATTGGATCGTGAAATTGGAGTAAATAATTATGTACATCAAACGAAGAGTCTCATAAGCCTCGCACGCTGGCCCTTGAGTGATAATACGCTTAATAAACAAGCTTTTACATATTCCTAAAACATAAACATTCACGATAATTAATGTAATTGTAAAATGAACAGCCGATTTTAAAATAAAAAGGAAAGCAGTATTGATTAACATTTTTCACGAATGATTACATATTAAATGAGGTAAGCGAAGACAGATGAGATGGTGGACTAGAGATTGGCTTTTCATGGCCAGTATGAGGCTTTCTTTTCCAAATGTTTTTTCCGAGTGGTTAAGGCGTCGGACTAACTTTCTAGTAATCTAAGGATTGTTGACCGCGTGGGTTCAAACCCTGTCAGAGGCAAGCCGTTGTTTCCTTGAGCAAGAACTTTACATTCCTTGCTTAGTACTGGCTGGTTCCAGGAACGGTTTCGAGAGTGTTTTAATAAGCTTATAGCTTTCAATACAATCGAAATAAAATAAACTTAATGAAAAGATAATAATATACATTACAACAAATAACATCAATAAAGTATGAGAGTGAGATTCAGCAAATGATAGAACAGATCAAAGTACATTGTGTGATTGCTTCACTCAAATTTGGCCTGACTCCCTCCTGTATCATTCTTCACAGATAACTTTATATTAACTCATAAGACTGTTTTTATTTATACGAGTGTGGCCATATTGTGTGGCCCATATCACCTTAAATATTGGCTTTAGTTTGTCCAAAGTTGTGTTGACTCATATGAGTCATTTTTAATTTGTTAGGGTATTAAGACATGTGTTTGTGTTTCTTTGGAAGTGTAAAAGCTCAAGTTCTTTGCTAGCCTCTTCTCACATTATAGTATAAAAAGAACAAAATATATTATAAACAATACATGAATTGACTAGATTTATTTTGATCTAAATCGTGTCCAACTGGTTTTGTAAGAAGGAAGTGGCTACCTGGAATGACACATTCTCATGTATGAATTCAAATTATTTTTTAAGTTAACATTCATGACCATTCCTTACATCAGAATGACTGTCAGCTCATAAAAGTCTATAAACTTAAAAAAAAATTATGTGTTTGCGACACCGTACATATTCTACTTAACCCTGTACAACTACACCCCGCTCAGTAAAATCTGTTTTCTTGCTAAACTCTGTACACAAGGCATGACTGTTTTTGGT